GAAAATGTTCCTTCAACAGGTTGGTAAAAGTCTTCACCAAATTCTCCATCGGCATTGTCAATATTTAGACTTCAAGAACAAGAAATATTGATTACAGAGTTAGGCACAATAGATCATTGATCATTCTTGTCAAAGTGTAATAATAGAAAACTGTACACAATATTTTTCTTCTTTCCATTCTAGTCTTGTATTATTCATCCATCCAACCTTCTATTCATTCTTAAATCCTTCCATTTGTTCATTCACTTTCTCATTTATTTTTTTCATTCTTTCACTTATTTATTCTTTATTTATTAATCTTTTCATTCTTRCTTTCTTTCATTTATTTTTTCATCTATTCACATTTGGTTTTCATTTGCTAAATCCAAGACGCCAGTTTATAGACTTCAGTACACCTTCCACCAAATAATCATTGTTCTTACCCTTCTATATTTTGATTAGCTTGTGTTTGGCCTACAAAGGAAGTTGAAATAATATTTAATAATATTGCCCAAAAATAAACTTTATATCAGAGTACAGAAACATGTTTTGCCTGACTGTACATAAGAGAATAATACCGGGGGGTAGGGGGGTACCCCCCTATATTCGCTATATACAGGACGTGCTGCCAACCAGGGTATCGTTTTCAGCAATTTTACTCTGGAACAGGGTATAGTTTTCAGTGATTTCACTCTGGAACAGGGTCAGGGTTTTGAGGTCCCAGCGGCACACCCCTGGAAATGGAGAGCACTCAAGAAGCAAAGAAAACAATTGTGGATCTTGTGTTCACAAGCTTGCTTGTCTTGCACACTCTAATTCTATATTTCAAATGATTATTTTTCATCAACATTATTTTGTTTGTTTAGCAAACATTGGTTCAAGAATGAGCACAGACTAGTTTTAATAGTCAAACACAGTGGAAAGAATGCATTACTATTTTATACTGGTATCTAAATATCACTTTTAGTAATACAGTTGCAATAATTCTCAGCTTRATTTAACTTTGCCCGCATCATTCAGTTATTATTCACTAAACATCATTATATAGCATGTATAACTACCTAATTGTGATTTAACAACTTCAGCCAGCTGCTCCACATCATCATAAGTGTCTTCTTCAATAAGCTCAGGTTCAACTGGTTGCGGAGGYGCTGGTTTATAAACTGGAATACTTGGTGTTTCTGGTATACTAGCACCTGTGTTTATATCATCATAGATATCTTCTCCGTCTTCAACAATGTCAACATCTGACATAGTAAATAAGGAAATTTGTTAACTTTGACATTCTAGCTGAAGCAATCAAAAATGTGAAAGATTTCTCTAGCTTGATGSCTTCATTTTTATACTGTCTCTGATCAAAGATTCTTTTCAAACAACTACTTGCCTTGATCAAAGCTTCCATTCTKAACTTCTTCAATGATTGCAGTTTTGACCTTTGGTGCAATCATCACCTTGTGGTTTTTATATTTCTTTTCTATTTTCATTGTTAAAATCAGTGGTTTTGGTGGCTTTTGCGGAGGTTTTAATCCAAGACTTTGTAATGTCGGCAGTGGTTTTAATTTGGGAGTCCCTCCTTTATTGACAATATTTTCATTGCTATCTGTCATACTCCCCGGTAATGAATCACTACGAGGCTTCTGTGTTTCTTCCTCACTGAATTTCCGTGACCTAGCTGGTCTTGGCATAGTTGCAGGCTTTTCACCGCCTTGCTCAAACATTTTTCTTCTTGCAGCAAACACATTATTTAGCTCATTTGAAGTGTTCTCTTTCCCAAGATCTGTGTCTGTTTCAATCAAACTTTCTCGCATTCCAGTTTTTCGGAGTTTAATTGAGTGCAAATCAATTGCTCCCATGCCTGCAACTGGTGAAGTGGGAGAGCTTGGTCCTGGTGCCTTGGGAGCTGGACCGCGTTTGAGACTTTTAAGCTGTGCTGACAACTGATCGGGAGACAATGCCATGATTGGCTGGTATTTTTAGCTCTCTCTACAATAGAAACAACTTGTTATCTTATGAAATTTATAAGTAATCTTTGCTGGGCAAACWACTTATTTCTTTATTACAAAAGATCCTATAAACCACTTCCATTGGGCATCTTGAGTTCAATTATTTTTGGCAAATTTCTAGTTATTTTAATTATTATTGTTTTGCTGGATTGTTTCTCATATTGCTGCTAAATGAAGTTTGTGGCAACCAAATTTTAATGCYTCTCCAAGTTCATGATCAACTTTGACATATCCCAATTTGTATGCGGGATCTAACACAGAATTCAATAGATTGTAATAAATGATATTCATATAAAGCAACGGGATATAGACTATCTAAAGCAATATCTGTAACATTGTATCAGATTGCGGCACCCCCTTCCCCATCACAAACAACTTCCTCTACTTATTACGGAAGATGCATAATATATTTATTTAGTRTAAGCAATAACAATACATAATTGCCAATGTAATTTATATGTAGATCATGGCATGTCTAGCGTAGAGACAGACATTCTACAAATGTGGAAGTTTCACAATCCGGGAATATTTGTCGCTTATTCAAGTTCAAAACCTTTACAAAATAAATACAGCAAATTCATGCACATCAAAGAGCCTTAAAGAAAGAAATTGAGATGAAACTTATAGCAATTCAGGCGGAATTTGGTAATCAAAGTCATGCCATCGATACCGGAAGTAATCGCATGTTTCAGACCAAAAATCGAAAGACTCAAACCTGAGAACTGTGAAACCTTAATAWCTTAATTACTTATGAAGAAATACCAAATAAAATTTACATATAAAACTATAAGCGCTTCTGGTTAATGAATGTTTACTGACATTTTGTTTTCAAAACATGACGGTTTTATGAAAACGAAATGTTTTGATAACTTGTTGACGTACGCCATATGCAGCATGAACTATAAATGTGTGAATACAGTTAGTTTTGAGCAATTTCCTTGTGAAATTTTGCTTTGCTCTCATTAACYGATGAACAATAGATTCAAAAGAAGATTGCTAATATATTTAATTGTATCAAACTGCTAGTATTAAATTATGAATTTGTTTACAACACGAATGCTGTGTTTSAACGTGTTTCAGCAAAGCGCAAGAAAATTTCTACCACATTTATTAATGATGTTACACTTACCAAACGTTCAGCTGTCTCAAAATCATCGATCAAAAGAATTTGATTGTTAAAATTATTCAGAATCAAGTATTATGTTGTCCCAACTGGATCGGAATTCATGGAAGTTTTCCTTGTTGTTTATCTATTGCTATCTCTGATTGGCTAACAGGCGATATAGTTCTTACAAGCGATTTGATTGGATGATTCAGCAAATTTTSACAATGGGACAAATGTCAAATGAATATTGAATATGCAAACTTTCGATTTTTTGCATTTTTGCTAAGACGAAAGTACAACAACGAAGTACTACCAGAAATTATCAATACCAGATACGTACAATGTGGCCATATCTCTTGATCCCTTCGGCCCACCCTAGAGACGCTGAAATGTAAACTTCTTAAAATACTTGCAAATAATCACAAGAACGTTTGATAAGTTTAATAAATTTATCTGCTTTATGTGCATTTTTTTAACACGGATTATTCTGAACTGGT